AACCCTTAAAAATTCATAGAAAGCCTTTCTTCTTGTTGTTATATGTCGTCAAGTCACCTGTGACTCATAGTGATCCTACGTAAAGCCTTTGGAGGACTTAATACCACATTGGAGAATTTCTTGCTCTCCTTTACTCTTTGGTTCATGGATATAATAGGTATTTCATGAAACAATAACAGAAGAGTAATTATTTATTTGAGTCTGTTTTTTTCTGTATGTCTAGTAGTTTGAAAAGAAATTAAGAAGACTAGACATTAAGATTATGGGACTGCAACAGAGAGATCTTAGCCTTAAGGTCAATACAACTTTATTCTCAAGTATAGACACCACGGTCTTTTCAGTCTCTTGCTATGCATCTTAGAGCTAAACAATGACTAAGAATGCTAGAGGAAGAATTGATGCCTTTGAGCTGTGGCCTTGCAGAAGAGTACTGAATATCCCATGGACTGCCAAAAGAATAAACAGGCATGTCTTGGAGAAAGTGCACCAGAATGCTTCCTGGAGGCAAAGATGACAAAGTTTTGTCTCATCTACTTTGGGCATATTGCTGTTGTGCATCAACAAGTCAAAACTGACACATAGCTAATCCTCTAGCAGGTTTTCAGAGGCAGTTAATTGCACAGAGAAGCTGGTGGACCCAAACCACATGCCTTTGGACTGACAGTGAACTCCTTATCACTAAGCCAGCAGAGCTCCCCTGGGCTACTCCTTGAAAAGGGTCATCATGCTTGGAAAGGTAGAGGGTGAGAGAAAGAGAGGAAGACCCTCAACCTGATGGATTGATACAGTTGCTGCAGCCACGGGCTCAAGTAAGTCAGTGATGGTGAGGATAGCGCAGTGTAGGACAGGGTTTAGATCTGCTGTTCAAAAGGCTGCTATGAATCATTCTCAATTTAACAGCACGTAACAACAAAAACAATACACTCAAAAGCAGAGATTATGTTTTGAGATTGAATGGGCTAGGTAATTTATGGAAAATTTTAACCCCTTTAATTATCGCAAACAATCTTCCATTTAAATTTTTACTAGCTAAAATACTTCATAATTTTGGAAAACTAGATTTCATAGATTTTATTTCAAGCTATTTGTGGCAACAAGAATATCTGAACATCATAAAACTGCACAATAACATTTATTATTTTCATGTATAGGTGTAGCCTAACATTTTATATCTAAAGAATGTATTATTCAGAGGTGAGTGTGTTAAATTCTTACAGTTACAAAATCAAATATAATTGAGAGACAAGCACATTGGGGGGAAAAGGAGGCAACAGATCATCTTAGAGAACAAGGATGAGGCAGCTAACATTCTACAGCAGAGTGTACATTCTTAATCCAGAAGGACATAATTTCTACTTCAAAATTAATCTGTAAACCTAAACTGGTCCAAAGCAATTTTAATACCCTCTTTCAAGAGGAAGCCCTTCAATGAGATGAATCAGCACATTGACTACCACAATGGGACTACCACAAACCACGACAGTGGTCATGAGGATGGTACAGGACAGGACAAGGCTCAGATCCGTTGTTCATAAGGTCCCTATGAATTGTAGTTGACCCAGCTACAACTAACACCACCATAATACAGTAACACAGTCTACTTATGCAAAAGAAGGGACATTCACATAGGCCATTAGTAGATCTTCCTTCCTCATAATGATTGCCATTATCTTTATTAGACAGGAAAACATAACATTATGTGCTACAAATACATCTAAAATGACCCCATCTCCTTTAAAGGTGGCATACAGTATATTTTCTCTCAAATTATATTTATGATCTTGTATTAGATGAGAAACTGAATTATCCACTAGGCAATTTGTGTGTAGGGATGTGTGTGTGTTCTGCCTGTAGAGCTATGCAATAAAGCAAACACACTGCCCTTGGTTTTCCAGGCTGTAAATATTTAAGGAGCTCTGGTGGTATGATCTGTAAGGAGTTCTGCTGTTAACTCAAAGGCAATACTTTTCTAGTGATTCAAATCATCATGGACTAAGTGGAGAAAAATGGGCACTTTCTTCTTCTGTGATTTACATCTTGAAAACTTACTAGACAGCTATTGAGTTTGTTCTGACTCCACAGTAATGAGAGAGAGGGCAGTAATTACAGGAGAAGCTTGCTCATCTTTCTCCCGCAGGCCTTTTGCTTTAAGACCACTACTACAAAAAGCAAAGACTTACACACAGAAAGAATTTCTCTTGCATGGTTACTAGGGATGAGAAATGAAAGAAAGGGGATTAAATATTAAGGATTAAAAACAACTATGAGATATCATCTCACCCCAGTAACAACAATAAAATTCAACAGAGCAGCAAACAACAAATGCCAGTGGGGTTGTTGAGAAACTAGGACCCTTATTTACTGTTAGTGGCAGTGTAAAATGGGGCAAGCACTATGGAAGGCAGTATGGCGCTTTCTCAAAAAGTTAGAAATAGAAAAACCATTTGACCTAGCAATCCCACTACTGGGAATATACCCTAAAGAAACCAGAACTGCCACTCAAGCAGCTATATGTACATCCATGTTTATTTCTGCTTTGGCCACAATAGCAGAGTTGGAAATAACCCAAGTGCCCTTCAACAAATGAATGGGTAGAGAATCTGTGGTATATTCACACATGGAATACTATGCTGCATTAAAAAACATTGAAAAAGGAACTCATGAACTATTATACAAAATGGGTGACCCAGGAGGACATTATGCTAAGTGAAATATCTCAGTCACAAAAGGACAAATACTGCATAGTGCCACTACTGTAAAACAGGACTGACATCAGGATTGGGAGGGAACCTAAGAAAAGAAGAGCTAAATAATGTACACTGCATTGAAACAGATGAGGGAAAAGAACTGTTTAAAAGGAATATATGATTAGGTATTATTTTCATGACAAGATTCCAGAAAAAGAAATGCATAGTAAAGTGGACAGACCGTGGACTTGGGGGGGGGGGGGTTGTATAACAATGAAAGATTTTTTTTTCTTTTCAAAGAGAAAAGGTAACTGAGGAGGAGGGGTGGGCAGGGAGGGAAATATGCAACAATGAATGATTGGGGGGGAATGGGAAGAATATGCTGTAAAAAAGTTGCATTAAAAAATAACATGATAAATGGAGAAAAGAAAAAAATTAATAGATAATCTGAGTGAAGAGAAATGCAATACAGTAACTAATTATATTAGTCAATTGTGATATTATAAAACAAAAGAGCATTAAAACCCATTACTACCTGTATACTTTCACTCAAATAAAAAATCAATAAAAATAAAAAATAATCTAATCTGAAAAAAATTTCAGCAATGAGTAGAATAATTCTGAGTCACGCTGTTATACAAAAATACTATAAATAGGTGTTGATAAATACTTGACTTCCCATAAAAGAGACAGGCAGAAAAGGATAAAATTGTAGGGTGGAGTTAAAAATTCCAAAGTCATTTCCAGACACATTACAGTACTATTGGTGAGAGGAAGAAATAATACTTGAATTGTATTCTAAAGACCACATATTTATTCTAGAATTCTGTTCTAAATGAACACATGCCTCCAGAAGAACACTATTCACATTTCTATTTATATCATAATAATTTCTATATATATAGAATATAGAAAATTATAAAATGACTATATTTAAAATAATTATTGATATTTAAAATATAAGTATTATACACAAAAATATTATTACACTTACATAACTAACCTCTATTTATATTACGAAAAATAACCTTTATGTATATTTCTATTTACGTCAAGCACATGAAAAAGCCACCTCTTCCCTGTAATCTTCCAGAAGAGAAATAGATCCAGAGACCTTGGGTTCTCTTGGGCATTTTAAAAAATCAACAGGATGTAAACAATCAATTTTTTTGTGAGCTGTTTATGTCCTCCTCATTGCACTGATTTGGGAACCTTAAAACTGTGTATAAAGTTATAAATTATTCTAAGGGATATGCTTGCGGCAGGGGGCGGGGAGCACGTTTGCCGGAAGGATGTAGGTTTTTCTCACGGTTCCTTGAAAGAACAAAATCAGTTCAGATCCAAGAAGGTGTAGTAAAGGCTTTGCTTTGCCGAGGAGGGAGGATTTACATAAATTTTTTTCCTCTAAATATTTTCAAATAATTAGTTTACAAAATACAGTCTTTTTCATTCCGTAAGCGTCATTTTCTTGCGATAAACGCTATTTCCAGCCTCGCTGGACAGCCCCACTGCGCCTGCGTACGCTCGGGCACCCCCACAATTCCGCACAGACTGCGCTGTCACTCACAGCTGCCTCCCGCCCCGCGCCGTGACGTAGCATTTCCGTCTCGGCTTTTTATCCCTCCGGTTCCACCTCTGCAGCATTGCTTGGTGTGTGAGCTGGTCTGGTGCTTTGTAGCCGTGGTCTCGTGCTGCCCCGCTGCCCCGCTGCCGTGCTGCGGCGACTGGCGTTCGGATTTTTGGATCTCGGAGAGCTTTCGCTTTGTTTGCCTTGGATCCTTTCATTTGCAATTAGCAGCAGATCACTTTGCAAAGCATCAGAAAAACGAAGGACTCGAGGAGACTCGGCTAGTAGACGCTTGGCTCCGAACGCCTTTTCTTCCGACCGCTCCGCTTCGCAGAAGCTGCCATTATAATCGTTGACTGGATTGTAAGTACTCACGGCGAAGAGAGCTCACTGCTCCCCCGCTTTTAAAAATCATTATTTCGGGATAGTTTGTGGATTAGCAGTGTCAGCTGAGCCTTCTTTTCTGTGCGGGAAAACTCACTCCGCAGGAACGGCCATTTGCAATCCGGCTTGGTAGCTCGCTTTGCATTGTCCGGCAGCGGCACCTAGAGGTTAGAACTTGACAGTGCCTCTAGTTGATTTAATCGAAACTGAATAAAGACAAAATAGCCGCTTAGTTGCTGCTGTTCCTTCTGGAACTCTGTAATTAAAGACTTCAAGTCACAACAAACTACTTTTCTGCCTTTTGGAACTTTAGAGTGAAACAAATCCTTTTTAGAGGAAAAGTGAGTCACAGAAAAGTAAAGATGAGTAAGAGCAAGGATGATGCTCCTCATGAACTGGAGAGCCAGTTTATTTTACGTCTGCCTCCGGAATATGCTGCTACTGTGAGACGGGCAGTACAATCTGGCCATGTCAACCTGAAAGACAGACTGACAATTGAATTACACCCTGATGGCCGCCATGGAATTGTCAGAGTGGATCGGGTTCCATTGGCCTCAAAATTAGTAGATTTGCCTTGTGTTATGGAAAGCTTGAAAACCATCGATAAAAAAACCTTTTACAAAACGGCTGATATCTGTCAGATGCTTGTATCCACAGTTGATGGTGATCTCTATCCTCCTGTGGAAGAACCTGCTGCTGTTGCTACTACTACTGCTGCTGCTGCTGCTGCTCCTGCTGCTCCTGCTGCTCCTGCTCCTGCTGCTCCTGCTCCTGTGGCAGATCCCAAGGCAAGCAAGAAAAAGGATAAGGACAAAGAGAAAAAGTTTGTTTGGAACCATGGAATTACTCTGCCTCTGAAAAATGTCCGAAAGAGAAGGTTCCGGAAGACTGCAAAGAAGAAGTATATTGAATCTCCAGATGTGGAGAAGGAAGTGAAACGTCTGCTGAGTACTGATGCAGAAGCTGTTAGTACTCGTTGGGAAATAATTGCTGAAGATGAAACCAAAGAGGCAGAAAATCAGGGCCTTGATATATCTTCTCCAGGAATGTCTGGCCACAGGCAGGGCCATGAATCACTGGAACATGATGAACTTCGAGAGATATTCAATGACCTCAGCAGCAGCAGTGAAGATGAGGATGAGACCCAGCACCAGGATGAAGAGGATATAAACATCATTGACACCGAGGAAGATCTGGAGAGACAGCTGCAAGACAAGCTAAATGAATCCGATGAACAGCACCAAGAAAATGAAGGAACCAATCAACTTGTTATGGGAATTCAGAAACAAATTGATAATGTGAAAGGCAAGCTTCAAGAGACCCAGGATCGGGCAAAACGACAGGAAGATCTCATCATGAAAGTGGAGAACCTGGCTCTGAAGAACAGATTTCAGGCTGTGCTGGATGAACTCAAGCAAAAAGAAGACCGAGAAAAAGAGCAGCTCAGCTCCCTGCAAGAAGAGCTGGAATCACTCCTAGAGAAGTAAGGAGAGAAAGGCCATTAAAAGAAGCAGCTACTATCTAGATCTTATGGCCTTGTTGATTCTGTTCCTTCCAGTGCCTTTTGTGAATGTATTATCTCGTTTTAAAGCTCTTGACTTTATCTTGTAGAAAACAGAACTGTTTATCCTGTAGGCAGGAAAATATAGGAAAGTTGTAGGATTAGTAAAATGAACAATTCAACTGTAAACACAGTTTCACTGCAGGGCTTTGCTGTTATGGCTCTGTTTTCCCAGAACTGTTATTCTTTTTTGTGCCATCTGAACTCACAAAGAGCCCAACCTAGAGACAGTGAAGATAGTTTGTGATTTCCCTTCCCCTATGCAATAGTTATTTCCCAAGTATTCAGTCAGAGTAGTTCTTTTTTACACAGAGATAGATAGTTTTATAATGTTTCTAGAAAATAAAAACAATTTGATTTTTACTGCAAAATGTTATGTGTCTCACTTTTTCATCGGTAGTGAGGTGTATTTACTTGATGGATCTAATGACTGAACATTTTAATGTTACAGCTAAAGAAGTGGTGATACTGGTTTTAAGGAAAAGCATTATAAGGGGAAAATAATGAGGATTGTGATCTTGGTATTAAATGGCATTTGGAGGTACGGAAACACTAGGTATAGGACTTTGTAAACTACCTTAAATTTTGTGAATGAAGGTCTAATGTACCTCCCTTTATTTCAAAACACTAAAACTCATTTGCTCAAAATACTTCAAATAAAACAATAGCTATTATGTACAGATCAACAAATCCTCTGCTTTGGATTAAGACTTTTTAGACATTTAATTGCTATAGTTTACAGTGAGAAATGATGCGGTTAACATGTCAGTTTATCAAAATTGCTGTTGAAATCAGTAGTATATCTAGATATTTTAAAATTTCCATGTTTACAGAGAATCATGTTTCCTATCTGATTTTTGAAAACCTGATAGAAATTTATAAAATGCAGAATTGCATGTGATTTATGACATTGGTTTACTAGAACAATTATTTATACTTTTTTTTTTAAATTTAGGTTGTTTATTTTTCATTTCAGTGACCATCTACAGAGATTTTGGAATTCAATTCATTCATTGTTGCACCCTTCTCCCCAATTATTTATACTTTTAAAGCTATACTTAGACTGCTGCTTTGAGACTTCATGTTTACCAGCTTATATTAATAATTCTAAGATTTCTGTATAGAATATGGAAGTTTAACCAAGGTTTCCTATAGGCTTTGGACTATTTCTTGAAGTTTGCAAATAATAAGAGGTCAGTTTTCTTAACCATGTTAGGGTGAAAAGCAACAAATACAGGAGTTTTAGTAATGTAGATATTTTGCTACCTTTATAAGGTGAACCCTTGTAGAACTTCAGAAGGTACAATGACCAAACCTCACAACTATGACAGGGGGAGGTCAGAAATCAATTTTTTTAAAAAAACAACACAAAACACCACAAACCAATTCGGACACCACTGCCCTTCACTTCATTGCTGGGTCCAGTAATTTGTTACAGTGGCCACAGAACTCACAGGTCAAAGTTACAATTAAGAGAATTTATTAAGAACAGCTTGGGTCAGGAAGTGTGTGATCAGGCTCAGCTCTCTCTTCTGGTCAGGACAGCTTGCTCAACTCTGCTGTCCATGCAAGTAGGCCCTTTCCTGGCATATGTAACACCTCTTGGCTCCCTTCAGGATAAGCCCTCGGCAGTGAGACTGCTGTTGTTGAGAGTATAATCAAGTTGGAACTTACCCATAGCTGACCCACCAGCAAGTTTTCACAGACATAAATCTCCCCGGAGGAGATTGCCCTTCTTTCTCCTGCAGAGCACCTAGTGGATTTGAACTTTGTCCCTTTGTGTTAGCAGTGCAATTCCTTACCACTAAGTTACTCACCAGACCCTTTCTGTCACCACTGACTGACACAGGACTTCCTCCAGGCCTCATTACTTTGTCTGCCACAGGCCTTTTTGGTCCTTTCACTGTCTTTAGTGTTGTACTCTTTTAGGAGGCTACTTGTACTTCTGTCAGTCCATTTTGGAGGACTGGCTGCATGTGTAAGCAAATTCATAAAGTTCAAAGCATGTCCAACCCCTACCCTGTCCAGGGCCATGAACTGTTCAGTCCCTTCTTGGTAGGCCACAAACACTTTGCCATAGTAGGCCATAGTCCCGTCACTTGCAAAAATATATTAATTAATCTCTGCAAAGTGCACACATAGCATAGGTCAGGCTACACCTTGGGGCCAGATGAAAAGATCAAGACATGAGTTAACTTCTCACCAAAGAAATTGCAATCCATCGGGACAAAGGTGACAACTTCCCCTAAGGTAGAAAACTTGGGCAAAATAACTCTTCAGGACTTGAAGTCACTGCTAATGCATAGTCCCAAGGAATCTCTGTAGCCATTAGTGGATTCAGACTGCCATTGCCAGACAGCCTTTAAATTAGCAGTACAACTCAGTGCATTCTATGACACTAGAGCTCCTCTCTCAGAGCTTAAAACTCATGGCTGTTGGGTGGAATTTACCCACAACTGACCCTCCAGTGGCTTTTCGGAGGCTGTAAATCACACACGATTACCCAGCTTTCTCTTGCAGGTCAGCTAGTGGATCCAGGCCACCAGAGGAGTGCGACTCCACACTTTATGCCCCCAGAGTTTACCTTGTTAGGGTTTAATGGGAAAATTTCAAGGTGTTTTTCAGAGAGCCAAATAAAGTAATCTGAAGGAGCTAATTTTATCACAACATCTGGAAAGCTCCCACCATATTTGATTGGATTTCCCCCCCCTTCTACTTGGCACTTTTATTATTGAGATTTGTCCTGGTCTGGAAGAGGAGGCTGGGATGGGCAGAACCAGTACCCATTTGATGGGCTTTCTTGGGCATCAGTCATTTCTCCATATTTTAAGTTCTGAGCAAACATCCTCATTAATGAAACTCCCACAGAAGGGAGCATAGTGACTACCAGGCAGCCTGGGATGGGGCAGCGCCTTAGGCGCTGCTGGGCCCTTGGACAGCGGGGCCAAAATGTCACCCACTGTGTGGGTGGTTGGGAAACGGCAGCTGTATCTGCGCACAGGGGCACCGTCAGGACCCACCAGGAACTTCTCGAAGTTTCAGGCAATATTGTGGCACACTGGAGACCATGTGATCAACTTGGGGTCTGTCATGAGTGCAGAGACATCTTCCCTGGGCGTGGTCAGGGCCTCCCAGAGAAAAGTGAAGAGGGAGTATGGTGCACCTGAGCACCATGAACGTTGCACCTCTCAGAAAGTGTGAAGTTGGGCTCGAACCCCGCCTGGTCCGACATGCTTTAGGAAATTCAGGATCTCTTTCGTTTTGGGTGTTCTCTTGATGCCCAAACAGGTTGCATGGGAAGCTGAGCATGACCAGCCCTCTGTGCCTTTCCGGGGTGCCCGCTTGCAGACAGATCATTGATCTGGATTTAGTCCCAGACCCATGAAGGCCACCTTCTCGCTAAGCAGCACTTTACCCTACTGTGAGCGCAGGCCTAGGGGCTCCCTGCCAGTCAGCAGAAATACATGCATTATAAACTATGCTGATAGTCTAAACCCCTTATTTCTAAGGTGTTCTTGTTTTAGATTTATTATATGCAATTAGTAATGAGTTGTTGTTTGCCATAGAGTGGGAACCGACTCATAGCTGTTCTCCAGTGGGTTTTCAGAGGCAGTTAATTGCATGGTAGGAGATAGCCCATGCTTCTCCTGCAGAGCAGCTGGTGACCTCAAACCACATTCCTTCAGGAATGAAGTACAGCTTCTTGTCACGGGGGGCCCACCAGAGCTCTCTAGTATTGAGTACACTGTGATTTATTTTTATTATTTTTTTTAATATTTGTACTGCTAACCCAAAAGCAGCACTCCGTGGTGGTTCGAATCCACCAGCGCCTCTGCAGGAGAAAGCTGGACAATATCCTTTTGTGTTATTTACAGTTGCTAGGATTCTGGAGGCAAGGATTCTGAGGCTCTGTCTAACATACTTTGGACATGTTGTGAGGAGAGACTGTTCCTTAGAGAGGGACATCATGCTTGGGAGGGTGGAGGGACGGCGCAGGAGAGGAAGGCCCTCTATGAGGTGGATTGATTCAGTGACTGGGATAATTGGGATGGGAGTGTCAGAGACAGTGCGATTAGCACAGGACAGAGCGGAGTTTAGGGCTGTTGTACATAGGGTCGCTATGAGTCGCAAGCGACTCGACGGCACATAACAACAACAACAACAACAGGAGAGGTTATTCCTTGGAGAGGGACATCATGCTTGGGAAAGTAGACAGTGAAGGAGATCCTCAACCAGGTAGAATGGCACAGTGACTGCAGCAATGAGCTTGAATGTGTCAGAGATTGTGAGGATGACACAGGGTAGGACAGGGTTCTGATTGGTTGTTTATAGAATTGCTGTGAGTCATACTCAACAGCACCTAAAAACAACACTGCATATGTACCCAAGAAAAATGACAGGAGAAGATCAGTTCCTTTGACTTGTGGTGTTGGAGGACTGAATATCCCGTGGACTGTTGAGAGTACAAACCTGTCTGACTTGGAAAGAGTGAAACCAGTTTGCTCCTTGGAGGCAAAGATGGTGAAGTGTCATCTCACATTCTTTGGGCATGTTGCTGCTGCTGTTAAGGGCTGTTGAGTCAAGTCTGACTCATAGTGACCCTATAAACAATAGGACTGAATCCTGTCACTTGACCCCATTGCTGCAGTCACTGTGTCAGTCCATCTGGTTGAGGGTCTCCCTTTTCTTCACTGTCCCTCCACTTTTCCAAGCATGATGTCCTTCTCTAAGAATAGCCTCTGCTAGCAAAATGGTCAAAGTACGAGAAATTAAACCCTGCCATCCTTGCCTCCAAGGGGCCCTCTGTCTGTGCCTTTTCCATGACATACCTGTTTTTATATATATATATACACACATTTTTTCCAATTATTAATGCATTTTTATTGCCTTTTAGCTCAATTTTCTTTTTTCTTGAGATTTTAATCA